AGGGGGAAGGGGGAAGGGGCACTTATTAAAAAGGAAAAGGGTCACTTGTCAAAGTAAAAGGAGCACCTCTCAGACATCTTCCTGAGTGAAGGAGGGAACTTATCATACCTGAAAAGGGGCACTTACTAGAGATTAAAAAGGGCACTTATGAAAATGAAACATGGACATTTATTGCGAAGGTAAATGGGAACTTGTGAAAGTAAAAGGGGAACTTGTCAAAGTAATAGGGGCACTTTTCCTACGTAAACAGAGGCACTTCTTACCAAATTAAAGGGGCACTATTTCTATGTAATAAGGGGCACTTTGGGGGTACTTGAAAAAGTGGAAGCACTGTGCCCCCGGGTGGCCCGCCTTTGTGCAAATTAGTTACAAGTTTTTAAGCTCACAGCTAAAATAGTTTAGACAACCAAAAACCAAAATGCCTCCGGCACCACCTTCGTTGGGCGGAGGCATGAAAATGTCAATTCTCATCCTGCCTCATTTCTAAGGCAATTCTTCACAGTCTTCACAATATATTTTGCATACTTTCCAACAGAATATTTCAAAAAAAGACAGGAATTCAGGGTTTAAAATAGTAGCTTGAAGGCCCAAAAATAGAAATCATTCCTCCAAAATAGAAATGGTTGACAGCTAGGTCTATCCTTTTCTGTTCTACATTTCTCTACACACTCACAATAATCACAACGGCCGCATAGAAAAATAATTATGTTTGATCTGAGTACAAGTTTTATTTTCAGCATTGAATAATTAATATGAAGTGGATCATTTACAGAGTAACATTATCATATACAAGGCTTCATTTCAGTCGAGCAAAAATAAAAAATAAAATCAGAATTTGTATACCATAATACAAAATAGGGATTTTGGTCTACAAAACATATGTTTAGATATCAATAATTACATTTATAGCATCATCTATACAAGATCGACATATGAAAGGTATACATATTTTTTCTATATATATAAAACATTGTAAAAAGGCTTGAACATTCATACAAAAATACCACTCCCCTCTCCTATAATTCAAAGTTGCATATTTCCATAATTAGTAAATAACAGATATTCAGTATTGAATTGAAAGAGACAGGTCACATATAAAACAGTGTGCTATTTGTGAAACATATTTGTGATAACATACAATTGTAAATCAATTTTAAGTAGGCATTTGTTAGGGTATGATCAAGAGCCTTCTGTCTATAATCATATAATTGGCCTTTGGAGCATCATAAAGCAGCATATCAATGGAACGCACAAATAGAAAAATATGAATAAAACTACATTTCGGAGTATTTCAAATACAAAACGGATTCAGGTATCCATAGCCTTTCTTCATAACTCTTTTATGTCATTCTAAATAGTAGCTATGTTATATAGTCTAAAACAATATGCTAACTTGTAATGTGCAAAAACTTTTTGCTGATGTAGGAGCAACAACAAAAAAATGCAAAAGTAGAGTCCATTTACAGAGCAGTGTTAAATGCGGTTTAAAAAGTAGAATAGCTATACAAAAAATAATCATCAATCTTTAAATTGGCAATCTACGAGCTGCATTATCCATATAAACAGTATTGCTTTGAAGACATATATTGCTCAAAGAATGCATCATTGAGAGAAAAAAATATCAATGTAGCCAATTTGAAGAGAAATGTATTTCTTAAATGAGTCTATTCCTCTCATATCTTACATGGTGCTCTCAGTACCATTTGCTTTCTATCTGATCGTCACACAAAACAAAGCAAAACAAAACAAAACAAACAAAAAATCTACAGGTTAAGCTTGGGTAAGCCAGACGTTATATCTAAGTCACTATTCCACATTCATCATAACTCTGCTTTTTTTCAACAAAAAAAGGTTTGTCCTAAGTACAGTTAGCCAGTTTGTCTCAAAACCACCCTTACAATGCCAATCACCAAATACTACACCTTTGAAAATATTTCATCGTCTTTTCAAAATCTATTCTTAATATCACCCAAACTTCTTTTTGATAAAGTCATCTGCACCGAGCAGAAAATTCTTAATTTGTGTATGCATGATAGTGTTTCGCAAAAAAATTGTAAATTTAGGCTAATGAAAGCGCTCACCGCTTTGAAAAACAGAGGATTCTCTATTTATTTATTTATTGTAATCGCAAAAATGTTTGGTGCTTATTGTAAACTGGAACTGGATAAGCCAAAGAATGGATTATATTCAGATCACATTTTAAACATTTAGGCAAAAAAAGGGGTCATATTTTGTTGAAAATATTCTTGAAGGTATCTTAATCGGGGGTTATTTTCAACTCCACTGCCCTATTAAATGTGAAGTTTGTCCCTTTCTTTTCTACCTTTCACAGCAACAATTAGGAATTTCTCAATGCAAAACTTGGAATACTTAAACAATCTATTTTGTATAATTTTCACACAGAATATTCCAGAAAAATAGAGGAATCTAGGGTTCAAAACAGCTTGAAAGCACAAAACATTGTGTTAGTAGATGGCAGGAAAACATCACTTACGGGGGTTCCAAATAGCCACCCCCCAAAATCACTTCGACGCTACGCGGCTCGTTGACGCAAACTGTTTAAACTGTAACTTGATTTAAAAAGACATAATATCATGCACTGCTTTCTATTGTCTCTATTGTCTTAGCAGATGCCAGGAAAACATCACTTACGGGAGTTCAAAATAGCTTTTTCAAAAAAAAATCGCCTCGCCGCTTTGAGGCTCGTGGACGATGCTCCGCGTCGTCATTTGGTCAACCCCCCTGGCAAAAAGCTAGATCCGCCCCTGCGTATATATATTTATTTATATACGTATATATATATATATATATATCTCAGCACCCCCAGTGAAAAAATCGTTCACAGGGCCTTGCAACTGAAGGCAAATAAACAAAGATTGATGTATTTCCTTATTTTAACATAAACATCGTAAGTCAAGAGGGTAAGATTGTAGTCTGTGAATCTTACAATTTAAAACAGTACACCCATACCATTTCATATTCAGATACATATTGAACACTGCAAGTATCAGAGTGTAAATTTTGTATTGAAAAAAAAAGACAAAACTCATTTCCAATGAAAATTGTAAATCTCTAACTCAAAAAGCACAAAGAAGTATAAACGCCTTTTCAATTTATAACTACATAGTTGAAGTAGAATTATAAATTTACACTGATTTATTCCATCTTACAAGCTGATCTCATCATTGTAAACACCCACACTGTACACTGTGAGGCTTATGCTACAGCTACATGCATTTTCAAAGTTATAAATGATCATCAAAGAAAGATACTTGAAAATATTTTAAAATATGATATAAAACTTTAAACATAAATAAGTTGATGAAATTGATTAGTGAAAAGTGTTTTTTTGGAGCAAGATAGTCATGAAGAATTTGAGAATATATCACACATACCTATACATGAAGATCATATTGTTTGGCAATACGCTTGTAAAAGGCCACATGTAAAAGAGACACACCATTGCATTATTTGACGTGATATTATGGTAAGTCTAAGATATTTGGCAATTCGGTGTCACGTACTTTTAATAGCAAGTTAAACGAAACAATGAACATGATTGAAAGAATCATTCATTTCATATTTGATCTGCTCTAAAGCACAGCACAGCCATTGGCTAGTACAAATGAGTATCCTTGATACTTTCAGGCATACAAAAACATGTGATCAGTCCAGGAATGTCTTGTAAAAGAAAGAGCATTATAGCAAATAATTAGACACACAGAAGCAAGTCAAATTCCCAACAACTGCATTCGAAAACTATGAAATTAGGAGGTTTAACAAGAGAATTCCAAATTTCTAATGACCCTCACTTAGAAATCTTGTGCTCTCTCATCACTCACAACAATGGACAGAAATAGACCTTCCAAGTGACAAAATGTACCTCAAGGATTAAGTAATCCTTATCCAAACCCAGTCCAACACTTTCATTCATAGCCACGCCCTCCAAAGCCTTGTTCAGATGATCAATTCTTCATTTGTTCGGAAGATTAATGTTGTTTTGAAGGAGTTTTGTAGCATTATAACTTTTGACTTGGCCCCATATTCAGATGAACTGCACAGTCCATGTCTACATAATCATTACAAATGGGGCATTATTGTAAAGGATAATAAACAGGCTTTTCAATTATACCAACGTCAAATATGATTATATACTAACAAGAGAGATATCAATGCTCGAACATGAATTGCAGAACTTTTTCGAGGAGTTTAGCACGATTGATGGCTCTTTTCAGGTATTGGCGGCCATCTTGGACGCCGTTCTAAAAGTGCTCCTTTTCGGGGGTCCGATTTTCTTAGATTTTAGAACATTTTCCTGATGTGTAACACTATCGGAAAACGTTTAGAAAGTTTTGTTGTTGCCATTTTTGGGGTTGGGTAAGTTTTTTACCACAAATTTGCCAGAGTAAAAGGAGAGCAGATATCATTAAGTTTAACAACCGTTGAAAAGCAACCAAATATAACTGAAACATATCAATAAAAAAGCAGAACCGCAATAAAACGAAACTGTACAAATCCTTTCAAAACAAAATGAACAAACGATGAAAACAACAGAATGAAAGTCAAGTGAATCTATTAAAAAGGAAAAGTTAAGGACGATCATTCCCGAATACAAACCTCTCGTACTGAGGGGGAGGGGGGGGGGGGGTTATAGTACTGAAAATAATATAGGATTCATTATTCCGAACATTTTATGCATTACTCTGAAGTCTCGTAATTCCGAAAATGGAATGAGCGAATGAACATCACTGAGCAAAGAACTGAGCATGTATCATCGATCTCTCAGTTGCATGTATGTATCGATGAGAAGTACTACTACTTGTAAGTCTATCTCGATCTTTGCCTCGGCCTTTAGTCTAGGCCTTCTCATAATTTACACACAAGAAACATTATCTTACTACTAACATGTCTATAAAAAAAAACAATAAACGCTAAAGTGAGTACTTGTCAAATGCTACAGTAAACTGTATGTAAATTAGAAAAAGGAAAAGGAACAAAAAGAAACAATTATTACGTGCACAAACGTTCTACTCATTCGGAATCAAATCGTTGGTCCTTAGATTAATGGTCAAACTTTTCACTAATTCATTCCAGAAATATTCTAGTCCTCTTTCGTCATTTGGCCAGTGAAGAAAAGGTCTGCCATCACTGAGATACAACCTCGCCAGGAAAGGTATCTCATCATCTGGGATGTCTTCGAGGAAGACCACCACAACGAATTCGGTCTGTGTGTCACTCACGTGGTCCATTGCGATTCGGAGCTTGAGCATGAACCAGCGATCGCGAACGGCAGCTCTGCTGAGCACTATGACAGTCTTGTAACTCCTGCTAACCACGTAGTCAACCGAATCCAAGTAGTGCATTCCTATAACAAGGTCGTCATCACCAAACACGTTCCTCTCGAACTGCGGGAGCCGTTCTTCAAAAGCCGGCTGGAGCTGTTCGCGAATCCAATGTTCATCGTCGTCGTAAAAGATGATGTTCAAGTCAAACTCGTAGTCGTTGTGGTCTCGAGCGTCCCGTAGCTCGTTGTACCCGAGGACCGCCAGTTTCAAGAGATAGAGTTTGAACCTTAACTGCCATCGATTATGATAAACGAAGCCGACAATGACCATGAAGCAAATGGCGGCGAGTGAAAGCACACAGATAAAAACAATGTTGAGCCCACATAGTTCGTTGGGATCAAAATCAAGCAAAGGTTTTTCCCCAACGGGATCCAAAGATGCTAACGAGCAGATAGTCTCATCTTCATTAAGCAGCTGTAAAGAGCCACTTAGCCAATCAAGAAGCCCCTTTAAATCACAGTTGCAATTGATTGGGTTGTTTGAAAGATCGATAGAAGAAAGAAAGGGTTTGATTGGTTGGAATGTACTTTGGTTGAATCTGGTCAATTTGTTATTTGCTAATGATAGAGTTGTAAGTTTTGCATTGTTTGAAAATATAGCTTCATCGAGATACGATAGGAAGTTTCCTTGAAGGTTCATGCTTCTGACTTGCACCAACCCTTGAAATAAATCCTGATGAAGTCGGTAAATGTTGTTTCCTCTTAAACTAAGCTTCTGAAGCGATGTCAACCCCAGGAAAGTTAGATGGTGAAGGTGTGAAATGTAGCAAAACTCTATACTCAGTTCTTGCAAAGTGGACAGCTCTCTGAAGATAAAAGGAGATAAGCCATTTCTAAGATAATAATTCTCACTCAGATCCAAGGTTGTAAGGTTTAACAATCTATCGAAAATAGATATATTCACTGTGGCATCCCAAAGATTATAGACATGAAGCACCGAATCAATCAAATCTAAGCTCACAAGAGATCTTGTTTCTTTGAAAGATTCTCCGGGTTCCAAAGGGCTCAAGGCGGAATACATATTGTTCATAGAAAGCCATTTTAAAGCAGGGGCGTCCAGTCGCCATCGAAAGACAGCGCATTCAGATATATTGATGGCTTGGAGCTTATCAAGTCCCGATAAAGAGTTTAGTGTAAAGGTAACAAGGAGTTCATTGAAATACAGGTCTAAGAAGGTCAAATTCCTTAGACCAAAAAATGTATACGGAGTAATTTCTGTCAAGGAATTGCCAGCCAAGTGCAGTTCGACTAAATCTACAGTCCACGTATGACTACCAGTGTTGATATCTTTTAGCTGGCAATATTCCACTCTTAGAACTCTCAAGTCCTGCATACCCTCAAAGAAGTCCGGTTCAATCATGCTTATATAATCATTGCCGAATGACAGTTCATAGACTCTCGTCAAATTCGAGAAAACAAAAGGATACAGATCATTCACTTTGTTATACATGTATGTGAATTCCAGCGAATGGATGGGCCAATCACGCAGTGGATCAAAGAAATTGTCCGGAAAGGCGTAAATAGAGGCATTAATTATCACAATTTCTTTTATTTCAGAGTGCGAAATTCCGGAGAACAAGTCTCGGAAACATTCAAATGTAACGGGATAGTCTCCAATAAGCAATGCACGGACTTGCAATGATGTGATTACATCCGGGTCAACCGACTGGATAGGGTTACCTAGAAGGTCTAAATGACCAACGTGACACACCAAATCGAAAGCGTCTGCATTAATATATTCAATTTGGTTTTCTGACAAAGTAACATGCTCAGATGTACCGCAAGAGCTGACATTGACGACTTTGAGTTGATTGTTGTGAAGGTGCACGGATTCTAATCGTGGGCTCCATTTTAGAATGTCGTTAGGGAGCGTTTGCAAGTTCGAGGACTGCAAGTTCAGAGTGGAAAGTTTTCTAGCCCACCTAAGAAGGCCTGGTCCTGGAAGCACAAGATGTGGGTTGAAGGATATATCTAGGTACATCAGATCCTTGAGGGGGTGTAAAGCCGTCCGTTCTATCACCCTGATGTCATTTCGAGACAGGTCTAAACGAGTGATCAGAGGATATCGCTTGAACGACCAGCTCAAGAGATAGGTGATGTTGTTTCGAAACAAGTCAAAACGCAGAATATCATTAGATAGATTTTGAGGAACCGAATTAAGTCCCCTGTTCCCGCAAGAAGCTGTCTTTAGCTCAATATTCATTTCACATCCCAAGCTTTCCCGATCGAATGTTGAAGGGGTCAGTAAAGAATCTCTTCTTAACGTCTGCATTGTCAAAGGTAAAAGAAGCCAACATATCACAAACAAGAAACGAAATAGACCGTAGTTAAAAGCCATCATTGTGCTACCTAAATTTCTTCCCGTTGTCTACCTAAAGAGATGATAAATACCAATTGGAGAAGGCTAAGCTAAACGAGTCACAAATTTGTTATTCGTATTCGGGTAGCTCTTTTAAAAAAGCGCAATGAAATTGAAACTTGGTCAATGTTTACAAGAACTTCCCAAATTGGTCATAGGAAGCTAAGTAAAACGTGACTTCGAATACGATTGTCAAACGATAACCGAAAGTGGCGCAGATCTTGCTTTGTTATTAAAAAAAATATTGTTAGAAGCATTCATATAGTCAACTCATATAATATGTTGGGCGCACTTGTGGGTTTTTTCTCGCTCTGTCATCAATGCCGGCGTCAATTAAGGGCGGAGTGGGGGAAATGTAGGAATTCAATAGCAAGCAAATAATTTCATCACAAAAAAATCCTGGACAGATTATAATATTTTTGCATAAAACTTTTGTAAGTAAGGACTTTTTTTTAAAGTGTTCATATTCATTTCAATTTCAAATTCTCTCCTGATGTGTGGCATACGGCTTTAGTTTTCAACCCTAGCTACCCCCAAAATAAAAAGTGATCAAAACTTTTTTTTAATTCGTGTATTGTTTTTGAAGCAGTCAAATGAGTGATGGATTTAGTTTATCTCCAAACATTTAAACCATTAGTGTTTGTCTATTCGCTTAGAAAACACTGCGACTCCAGATTGTTCTCGTCTTTGGCTCGCCCGTTCGCCCCCTCCAACGTTTCCTTAACACTACACACCCGCCAGCCACTGCCTCTTTGCGGTTAGTGCAACCATTGTAAATCCAAGTGCAAAGTTCTTATCGACTTATTTTATGTTTCCTTTTCGAGAGTAAGTCAAATAACATTTACACAAGAACGTGTCCATGCACTCAACTGTAAAGGATGCAAATTATTAGATTTCATCAAGATTATTCTTAATATTTTTCCATATATTTTATGTTATGTATTTTAAATATCCATAATATTGATAGAAACAAATCCTACTGTCTCAGTAACACTACATTTTCTTTCTCGTTTTTTAGAGCAACTCGTTTATGGTAGTGCCCGTGGACTTCTTCATGAAATATACTGATACATAAATACACTGTCGCTCATATAGTTGGAATATTTTTGTTTTACCCCAATTTATGGAATTATTTTTAAAATAATTTAAAAATAATAGATCTAGATTATACATTCTCAGATTTTATTGAATAATAATTTGACAATGTGTGTTTTGCGTGACTGCTGAAGGTGAGAGGTGAAATGGGAAAGGGGCACTTTTTCTATGTAAAAAGGGGCACTTTTGGGATACTTGAAAAATTGGGAGCACTGTGCCCCCGGGTGGCCCGCCGCAGTGCACATTATTTACAAGTTTGTAAGCTCACAGCTAAAGTAGTTTAGACAACCAAAAACAAAAATGCCTCCGGCAACACCTTCGTTGGGCGGAGGCATGAAAATGTAAATTCTCATCCTGCCTCATTTCTAAGGCAATTCTTCACAATCTATTTTGCATTCTTTTCAACAGAATATTTCAGAAAAAGAGAGGAATCTAGGGTTCAAAACAGCTTGAAAGCACAAAACATTGTGTTAGTAGATGCCAGGAAAACATCACAATACGGGGGTTCAAAATAGCCACCCCCAAAAATCACTTCGACGCTACGCGGCTCGTTGACGCAAACTGTTTAAACTGTAACTTGATTTAAAAAGACATAATATCATGCACTGCTTTTTATGGTCTCTATTGTCTTAGCAGATGCCAGGAAAACATCACTTAAAAAAAAAAATCGCCTCGCCGCTTTGAGGCTCGTGGACGATGCTCTGCATCGTCATTTGGTCACCCCCCCCCCCTGGCAAAAAGCTAGATCCGCCCCTGCGTATATATATTTATTTATATACGTATATATATATATCTCAGCACCCCCGGTGAAAAAATCGTTCACAGGGCCTTGCAACTGAAGGCAAATAAACAAAGATTGAAGTATTTCCTTATCTTAACATAAACATCGAAAGTCAAGAGGGTAAGATTGTAGTCTGTGAATCTTACAATTTAAAACAGTACACCCATACCATTTCATATTAAGATACATATTGAACACTGCAAGTATCAGAGTGTAAATTTTGTATTGAAAAAAAAGACAAAACTCATTTCCAATGAAAATTGTAAATCTCTAACTCAAAAAAAACAAAGAAGTATATACGCCTTTTCAATTTATAACTACATAGTTGAAGTAGAATAAAAATTACACTGATTTATTCCATCTTACAAGCTGATCTCATTATTGTAATCACCCATACTGTACACTGTGAGGCTTATGCTACAGCTACATGCATTTTCAAAGTTATAAATGATCATCAAAGAAAGATACTTTAAAATATTTTTAAAATATGATATAAAACTATAAACATAAATAAGTTGATGAAATTTATTAGTGAAAACTGTTTTTTTGTAGCAAGATAGTCATGAAGAATTTGAGAATATATCACACATACCTATACATGAAGATCATATTGTTTGACAATACGCTTGTAAAAGGCCACATGTAAAAAAGAAACGACCATTGCATTATTTGACGTGATATTATGGCAAGTCTAAGATATTTGGCAATTCGGTGTCACGTACTTTAGCAAGTTAAACGAAACAATGAACATGATTAAAAGCATCATTCGTTTCATATTTGATCTGCTCCAAAGCATAGCACAGCCATTGGCTAGTACACATGAGTATCCTTGATACTTTCAGGCATACAAAAACATGTGATCAGTCCAGGAATGTCTTGTAAAAGAAAGAGCATTATAGCAAATAATTAGACACACAGAAGCAAGACAAATTTCCAACAACTGCATTCGAAAACTATGAAATTAGGAGGTTTAACAAGAGAATTCCAAATTTCTAATGACCCCTCACTTAGAAATCTTGTGCTCTCTCATCACTCACAACAATGGACAGAAATAGACCTTCCAAGTGACAAAATGTACCTCAAGGATTAAGTAATCCTTATCCAAACCCAGTCCAACACTTTCATTCATAGCCACGCCCTCCAAAGCCTTGTTCAGATGATCAATTCTTCATTTGTTCGGAAGATTAATGTTGTTTTGAAGGAGTTTTGTAGCATTATAACTTTTGACTTGGCCCCATATTCAGATGAACTGCACAGTCCATGTCTACATAATCATTACAAATGGGGCATTATTGTAAAGGATAATAAACAGGCTTTTCAATTATACCAACGTCAAATATGATTATATACTAACAAGAGAGATATCAATGCTCGAACATGAATTGCAGAACTTTTTCGAGGAGTT